GATTGTCACTCAGGAGCAAGAATAAAAGACACTTGAATCTACTATTCGCGTTAATTTAATGATTTAATTGTATTATATTTATCGAATTGTTATATATATATGTGATAATATTGTCTATACTGTATTATTACGTTGTTCTGTTTATTGAATTGCTATGACTTATTTTGGCTTTTTTGGTTGAATAAACACTTGTAGTGCGAAAGGCGGTTGGGGGCTTTGGCAATGTCTTATTTCCCAGATCATGAAATAAATTGAAAGTATCGAATTGTTCCCGTGCTTGGAAAACGATTTTTGAAGGTCCTGCGAAGCGTCTCGTCTGATTTTCCCCGTCATTTCCAGCGCCAGGAAAATGTGTGAAGAGCGCTGTAGCGTCCGGTTACGTTTCTTGTGTTTGATTAATCGATTGTTTAAAGGGAGACTATCGATACTGAAACAACAGTATCCACGAATATAGGCCTGTCAAAGCATGACATAGTTTTATACTTGGCTTTAATTCTCGCGAGCAAAATTGTTTAAAAACAAGGCGTAAATAGATTTACAAAAAACAGAAATAGAAATGCAAAGACATAAACGTGCAGGGCACACTGTGGTACACGTTTGTATAGTTAAATACTACCTAATGAGCTCTAAACTATTCCTAGTTAGGAAAGCTGAAAACTTGACGATTAAACAGCAAGAGTGCCCGGCGTAGCAATTAATTAATTACATATAATTAAAAATTAAAGAGCGGGGATCAACACCGGTTTCGTGTTTAACGGAGTGGACGCTCCCAGCCAAGGTTACAGAGAAAGGATCTACAGGTGCCTCAACAGGCGAGTTGCTGTGCTTTGCGACGGTTTGACAGATAATCGTATCTAAATAAATCCTGACCAGGGAAGGGGTGCGAATTTGTGCTGTTTGGGGATCTTAAGAGACTGAAAGTCCCCATGTACTTTGGGTGTTTTTTTCCTGTCAGGTACCGGTAAGTAATCGAGTAACAATAGGGAGCCGCTGGCATGACTGTCGTAGGATCTCGCCCTTTGAGGGGCCAGCCGATTTCAAACCAAACAAAGCCGTTAACGTTTTGGGCTTTATATTAAATTAACACGAAAACATCCACTGAGAACGAATCTTCTGTTCACGGAGGTGTAATGACAATCAGCATTTCTGATGAGTCTCCTACAGGGAAGAGTTTTATTAACTGCAGTGTAATTACAGCAAACGGAGGAAACCGACAGGATAGAGAAAATGCCGAGACTCCTCTCATTTACTTTTAACAGCAACCTGAAACAGACAGGGTGGGCTGGCGATAATTAAAGATTAGTTTATATTTACCGTTTTACCATTTCGTAGAAACTATAATGGGAGCTAAGCATAAATTCAAGATGAACCACGGATGCAATTTAAACGCGCTTGAAAGAACCCAACCCAACGCACAGCAGTCATTCCTGTAGGTGCAACTGTTCTTCATTCTCAACTGAATAGTGCAGTTCTGCGACTAGCAATCCACAAAACCGGAGCAGTTGAATTGATTGTAAAACAGCTGGATCTAAACGAGGACAGAGAGACGTGAAGATAGCGCTTGAATGAAAAAAATGTTAGTGATCAAAATATATGAAGCTGCACTTACTCCCTAAACTTGTAGATCAGATTTAGAATTGTTATAGCTATGCGTTAAATATTTTAACAGAATTTAATATTCGTTTTGGAATTCAAAGGCGCAACGAATTATTGTTTTCTCAACAGGTTTAGGGTAGAGGAGGTAATAGTCTCTCTGGAATAAAGCAACCCGACTGTACTTTCTCCTACATTAGTTTGTCAGGGAGACATGTCGTCTGTTCTCTTCTCTGTTTATCCAGGATGGTAAGATGATCGTGACACGGGGTGGTTTGTTAATCATCCCGCAGGCGAATTTTCTTTCAGCTTGTTAGACTTCAGTTTCGTCACAAAACGTTAACATTTGGAATCGCGGATTACTGTATTTCTGTGAGCACCTGCGGTTTCGTTCATTCCAACTGTAATAACGTTACAGGCGATATAAAAAAGGAAGGGCGTTATATAATAGCGGAAAGGAGAAAGTCGTAGAAGTACAACTAACAATATTAGTAAACACAGCGGCCTCGCTACCCAGCCCGTTACCCTAATCATCTGAGAGAAGTGCTACGAACTTAGTGCAAAACAATTCATTACAGGTACATGTCGGTCTGAGGACAGAAGAGCGGAGTGAAGGGGTTTGTTCTGACGTGAGACGGGTCTATCATGACTGAAAACACCACCGTGTTACCGGTCCCCAGTTAAATCTGCCCGTTGACATTTTCATCAACCCGTGAAGTAGAGAACGGATTTTTTTCTCCTTGTGGTGTAATAGCGAGGACCGCGAAGTAAAAGGGGTTAGTTTACAGACTGTAAACTGAGTTTACAGTCGAGTGGAACATCTTTCGGTAACGCTCATACACCTGCTGATAAATTCTGATGGTTTCCATAAAAATGTACAGGTGTCCGTCAATATGTTTGCAATATATTTGCTCAGGAGCCCTTCCCATGGCAAGTTTTAAAGGTTATGGAGGTTCTTTCTTTTACTGAATAAGTAAGGAACTGTACATTTGTCACAAGTCTCCTGTGTCTGTCGGCGAGATACAGTAGCCATCTTAAACTGAAGCTGCGCCAGTCGATTGTGTGTGTCCCCTTTCAGTCCATCTGGAATACCCTCTCCGTCAGTGCTCTGCCTCTGTGCAACTGTATCCCAAAACACAAAGTGTTCCCCTCTTTCATTCACCCCATCTAAAACAGTTACTTTGAGGAAAAGAACTTGAGCTTCACAACGAGAAAGTTACAAAAGGCTTTTAATCCACTGGCTCATTTACATGTTATAAGAGTGAGGACGGAATGCATAATCTTTTGCATTTAGCGCCCTGTAATCCCCACTTTCTCTCTGATGTGTTTCTCTCCCTGTTCCCCCAAGAACAATTAATTTGTAATCTCCACAAACATACATTCTGCTGTCTTCCATCTGATCCGGGCTGGGGGAAAGGAAAATGGGTCTGGGCTTCTACGGCACCTCCACGTTTCTAGGGGGGTCTGGTTTTGCACATTTTCAGGATTCAAATCGCTTAGGGAACTGGCTCAACAGCTAACTTCGCAGGGCGTGTAAAAGTAAAGCATTTGTTTTAATTCAAGCCCTTTCTTGTGATTCTTGTGCAGTTAGGCCTTGCAGCAGTAATTATGTGTATTTGTTCGTTAGGCAGAGCAAGTTTCAAGAGCCTTTTACAATGCAATGCAAGAATTCTTCGGCATCTAACAACTCTTGTCTATTGGTAAATGACATTTAATTGACTGAATTATTTTACAATTAGTTTTACATTGGTTTCTGGGGCAGATGGATATTACTATGGGCATTTTAGATTATCGGTAACAGTGAATATATATATGAACATTTTGTTCAAAGAGCTCAAGTGTCCCTGCTAAAAATATGTGTAAATGATTCGTAATGGATACCGGCCCTGGTCTGGGATGACAGACCATGGGTGTTGATGTGTTTGATTAGCACAACAAGGAGGCAGATGGATATCCGATATCTGAAATACTATAGATGCCAGAGCGGCGGACTGCGCATCTGCACGCATTTTGCTTCAGTTCGGTCTCGACGCCAGAGGAGACGCCGCCTGTCCAGCTGAAGCGGCCCGTGAGCGGCTGGCGCTCTTCCGGAGGCAGGTCCTCAGCGAGCGGCGCGCCCGCCGACCCCGGCAGAGGCCGGTCGAGCCGAGTGAACCAGTCGGTGAACTGTGCTTAAATGTCACAACGAAATAATGTCGATCTATATCATGTGAATGTTATCTCTTCAATGCACGCCTTTCCCTTGGTCGATTGGCACATACGATGATATAATTTAAAAATTATCTAGAACATGACCCCCTACCTCAGGACGTCCAGTTTTCAAAACGTGTAAGAACGGAAATTTTTGGAAGTCGTATTTAGTTTAGGTTTAATTCCGAGTCCTTCGCGCTGAAGAGCCATTGAAATATCTTGAGAAACTTTTAGGACAATTCGTGTGCTTTTTCCGTAATCTGTAAATGATCAATTACATCATTTCTGATTTTTGCTAGCTAGAAAAAGCCGAGATTAGCCCTCTGAAACCAAAAAAAAAATCGTAAGAGTAACGTTTGTTCTAACGTATTGCTTAACAACTATACTCCGGATTCCATAACCTGGAGTCTGCTCGACAGCTGTCCTGTCTGGGTTTTAGTCCGGATTTGCGCCCTTTGCTTCCGAGAGGGATTCTGGATTGCAGTGGACTGCAATGACCCTTCCCAAGGAAAAAAAAAACCGGTTTTCTGTTACTAGAGGGATGGATTTTCCCCGTTGAAATTTATGAGCACCTGAACTGCCGAAACGAGGTGTAAAAATAGGCAGCACTTTCGACTAAATTAGATTTACTTTGGGATTAATTCACCAAGGCGATCTCTTTTAAACCGTTCATGGATGATTTAATTTATACTGAAAATCATTTGTATTAAATATTCGTGGAGCTATTTCTAGACATACTGAAAGATAAAACATTCTTAGGTACAGGACTGTTCTGTTGATCGCTTCTATACCTGAGATACATTGATACATTGATATATCTATCGAAAGACAGATCTCATGCATCGTTAGTAGATGAGCTTTTTCTTGAGCTTTTTCAGAGTCTAGTCTCTTACATGGCTGTTTCTGTGAGAGATGTTTACAAATATTTAAAAATAAAGTAACTCAGGACTGTGAAGGTCTGTATTCTGTTTTAAAATGCTCATTAGACTGGGTGTATTAAATGAGTGACGTATTTCTGAAAGTCTTCGTTTCCTCCATCTTTTTGGCAAAGCCACCTGCAAGATTGAGGATTCAAAGAGAACAGTTACAAATCGAAGCAAGTGCATGATCCCTTGAAATTCGCACAGAGGACAAAACAGGACTTAACTTGTTTTTTATTATAAACGTTTTTATTGAAATCTCGTCCAGAAACACTGGGCAATAATAAATATATCAATAATCGTCAGGAATGTACAAAAATAAAGACAAAAGGTTGTCTCTGGGCATAACAAAATATTTCCAACAAAATCAAACATGCCTTGTAGCAAGTGTAACCACAGAAGCTGGAAAAAGTCAAACAAAACATACAAATGGACACAAGTACATCACTGAAATAGAAACTGTCATCAGCATTGAACAATAACACTGAAGAAATAATATAGCTTGCTCTGTTTTCTTATCTGGAAATATATACACCCAGGGAAATATTTTTTTGCTTGCAGAATGCAATTTCAAATCCTTGTTACAAGGAAACCAACGCATTCTTAAATCCAGCAAAACTACGCCTGTTACAGAAAGATTCGGCTTAAAGCTGCATGCAGCCTCTTCACGTTTTCCCGTCTCTTACAGCTCGGTTTGATTGTGTTCAATTTAACAATATTGGGGCGCGGGAGTTACCTCGCTCATCTCCAGTCACCCAATATTCGGGAGAGCCGAGGCCTGGCGTTTTTAGAAGAAGACACGTATTTACATCTTATGAGGCGTTTTAGTAAACGGTGACAGAACGAGAAACTTCGGAAGCTGAGACACTAAATAACCAGCAGAAAACAGTTACCTTGGAAAAATTATATGTTTTCAGACCAAATCCTTGTTACAAGGAAAAAAGCTTGTAGGTTTGGTAATGTCAAAAAAAACGGTAGATCACGTTTTTCAAAAGCATGCAAAATAACGTTGGATTCTTCCCCGTCCGGTTTAAAATCCCCTTGAAGAACGACACGCAGAGTAACACTTTTTAGTCTTTATCCGCCCTTGACCCGGCAGTCCTCGTTTATTTCAATACGTCCTTGTTCTCCGCTGAGAGTCTCGTCAGGCCGGTGGAGGTTAAGGCAGAGAGGTGTGGAGGGGGGGGAACTTGGCAGATCGTGCACGGGCAAGGTAAACCTGCCCAGTGCTGGAAACCGCCGCCCAGCTGGAGTGGCGGTGTAGGGGGAGTCTTCAGCAGGGAATGGGGGCTTCGGATGGAGGTAAGTCCCGGCAAAGTCGTGGAGAGCGTGGACGAGGTGGTGGAAGACAGCGCGCTACCGAGGAGCGGGTGCACTTGGTGGCTAGGGTTCCCGGCGTGACTGCCGGCGTGACCGACTGATCCGCAGTGAAAGGCGGAGTGGTGCCCGCCGTAAATCTCGCCCACCAGCCTCTTCATCTCGTCCAGCGAGCTGGTGAGCATCAGGATGTAGTTTCGGGCGAGCAGCAGGGTGGCGATTTTGGAGAGCTTCCTCACCGAGGGGCCGTGCGCGTAGGGCATCACCTCCCTGAGCCCGTCCATGGCCAGGTTCAAGTCGTGCATGCGCTTGCGCTCCCGCCCGTTGATTTTCAGCCTGAGCTGCTGCATCTCCTGCTCCGAGGCCTGCTTCTTGAGTTTGTACTTGCTCCCTCCCGTCGCTTTCTCCCCGTTCCGGGACAGGTGCTCGCTCGTCATCTTCTGCAGGAGCTCGCTCTGAGTGGAAGACACCGAGCTGAGCCGGCCGTCTTGCAGGTGGTGGTCTCGGAGATACATCCCATCCATTTCTGGCGAAGACGCTCTGCTAGAGACAGAGCTGGAGTCAGAATTCATTTTATTACTTCGGCTGAGTAGGAGGTCGCTTTCCTCAATGTCTCTGCCTCTTATTTGGTTTAAGTCACTCTTACTTGATCACCTGATGCTGTCGTTGGAGTTTCCTTCTTTAGTTTCCCAAGTGGAGTTAGTAAGAAGTCAACGCTCTCAGTGCATGCTGGTGTGCCTTGTTTACTTTTTATCTTGAGGGTGCACCTCTTTCTCTGTGCCGAGGTAACACAAGGATCTGGGTATTTATAGAGCTGCTTGAGTGTAGGGAAACAAAAAGAGCCCTCCTATTCATAATGGTCTTGTTAGGATGACGTCCCCATTATACAGGGCGGTGCGCTTTGACTGTCCCATTTTCCAAGGAAGCCCTATTCATATTCATTGTAATGCCACCGTGGGGGGATACTTCTGCTGTGGACAATCTGAAACCAAGGCAACTTGCAAACACTTTTCTGTACTCACCAGAGAATGACTGGGTTACTTAAAAACGTGTTATCTAGTAACTGAATCACCTCTTAGAATCCGCAAAAAAAATGATGCCTTCTCGTGATTGTTTTCCTGAACAATCTTATTAAGCCAGCTGGGAAATGTAGAGTACTCGTAAACTTGACTGCGTCTACCTCATGGTTTAAAAAACAAAAAGAAAGAAACGGATTTATGGATTGAGGTGACTTGTGGTGTGCTTTGGGCTGGTTAATGGTAACGGATTTTGACAGCCGTGTTCAACTTAGTGTTGGTTTAGATTCACTCCAAGCGGGTGCGAGGGTTATGGTCTTAATTTGCCATGAACGGGAAGAATCGCAGGTAAATATATACTTTTTGTTTTAATGGAACGTTTTGAGTATCATGTCAAATGCAATCAAATAGAAATTAGGAAGGGACCCGACACCGTGCACACGCAGGAAGAATAAAGTTTTGACAACAGTCGAGAATTCGTTTGGATTGATGGCGGTGCAGGAAATGCATCATGATATTTTAGTCCCATTTGTCTGCTTGTCTGAAATAATTGCCGAGTGTAGTTTCCGTTTTCTTTTCAATCCCTGCCTTCTTCTCTAACACGGCCTGCAGGCTTCCGAAATCCCACCTCAAGACCGGAGTGTAATTATTTGCTTGTTTATAAAAAATAAATTTAATTCGTAGGAAATTATATTTCTAATTATATACCGTTGTGTATACTGTATATATTATGGTGTAAATTAAATTATTTTATACGTGTAAGTTGGCTTTCTATCTACTTTTAGAGACTTGAAAGGTTTCACAGTTTTGAGTAATTTTTAAGTAGATAGTTCAACGTTGCTGTACAAAATTATTTTCTCCCGAATAAAATGAAGAATTCGTCAATGATTAATACATCTATTACATTCTGTCGCAGTCATTGCAGAAAAGTGGATTGGATTCAGATGGTGTTAGCCATATGTGTAGCCTTTTATTATGGACAAGCTGCCAACTTATTAACACTTAAACGCATGTGTTAAGCAGGTACATGAAATCATCAATATCAAGTTAAATAACGTTATTGCTCCAATGTTGCGATTGACTGTTTTCCCTACAAGTAAACTGCAAGAATGACATATTGTGAACATTGTGCAAGAATTCGACAAGCAAATGGACGTTCAATTAAGAATAAAACCTGTTTATTCGGAATCGATAAACACCACGGATCGAGTACTGTACAAGTGAAGCCAGTGCTATTCAGTGTAGCGTTTTAACTGTAGGTAGGCAACAAGACGCTTGAACATCAGTTGGAGGATGTCGGCGGCGCCGGCCGCGGTCGTCAGTGGTGGCATGGAACTCTTTTCCTAGGATCGATCTAAAATGTGCTCAGATGGTTTTAGGTTATGTTGTTGGCCAAGCCATGAGACAGCTGTGATTCACAGTCTTCCCAATTTGGCTGCGCGGATTCGTGTGGGGGTTCAGGAGGATATCTTCCACAGAATTATTGCCTTGCCCAGACTGGGAAGGTCTGATGAATGCGCGCGTCCTTGCGAGGGAATAGTTGTCTTTTGACTTCTCCTAAATTAGACCTCGTCAAAAAACGGCCGTGCAATGTCCAGTGCTAGGGACATTTCTTAACAGGGCACTGACCACTGCATGACCCCTGTTTAAAAGCACATCTCAGGTCCCGAAGCCCCTCCACAATGAAGCTACCTCTGGCCTGTGTCTGTTCTTACTCGTAGAAAGTATTCGGATCACACACAAGATATGTCGTCGCATAGATATGCCATTTAATGAAAGATAAACGAATGCGTAATTGACCTTGAAGTGAATCAACACTTCAAGTCAAATGACGGATAATGCCGACGATTAAATAAATAAATGAAGAGCGAATATGAATTCCTTTATGAATAGGAGACGGAAAAAAAAACACACAAAACCATTTTGAACGCAGTAAGACAAATGTGCGCTACAAAAATTGTGTGCTGACGTTCCGAGGCAGAAGAAACGACAAACAGATCCTCTGGTCGTATCAAGATTAATCGACTCTCGGAGTTTAAAATTAATTTTTGACAGGGTTAAAAACGGAGACAGCCTGACGTCATGCCCGTCGTAACCAACAGGATGCGCCGAGAACGAGCGAGCAGGCGTCCCCCCGCGCACATAGAGCGGAAGGTAAAAACACAACCACTCCGCTGTTCGGAGTGAAAACGGCGCCGAGGGCTGCGGGACAGGCGTCACACCGAATCCTTTACACAGTTTAAACGGAGAAAAATCAATCGGCTTCGTCACCAAGTCTGACAGACAGACAGGGAGGAGAGCTAAACGAGCTATTAACCCGAACGCTAACCACAAGAGTGTAAACAACCTCAAAAACTAACCAAAGACGTGTATGGGGTATACACCAATAGAACCCGATTTCAATGAATTCAGTGTATAAAAATCAAACTAAAAAGAAAGCGAAGTTATAGGGAATAAAACAAGAAACAGTTAAATCTTACTTGGGTCTATACGAAAAGACGAATTCCTAATGCAAGAAATTGTATATGGTCAATAAAGTGATCTTATCTTATATTTTATAATTAAAAAAAATCCAAACAGTACCTTAGAATAGGAACCGCGGGGCCGAATAACTCAAACGATAAAAAGATTGATAGGCCTACTTTGCAATACGTTTTTTTAATGGAAACGTAATACAAAATGTAAAATAAAACATAATGTAAACAGTTAAAAGAGTGGAACGAAATTAACTACAAAACTGCGTTCGTTATCGAAATAACCTGAATTATGAAAGTCTGGAGAAACGAAATATTTTTTTTAAGGAACAAGTAATAGGTTTATTGCAAGCTGGAAAGAGAAGAGAAAAAACACAACGTTTCGGCTGTGAAGCCTTCTTCGATTTATAAGCTAAATTTGTGAACAGTAAAATACTCACAGAAGTAGACTATATACTACAGTGCTGATGGATGCTTCGCCAAAAAGAACACTTTTTTTTAACTCAGACGGTCATTTCTGACCTGCCTAATAATTGGGCCTACCTATAGGCGGACTTCAGCAGAATCTGCTTTAAAAAAGTGCAAATTACCTCTACCGGAAAGCTTGTCCACTCTCTAAATCTGCTGTAGTAAAGCAAGTCATCTTTAATATTTATACAGCAGAGTTGCATTTGAAAAGCTATAGGACTTTACCACTCATCAATAGCTTCAGAACGGACCAAGACGTACTGTACGTGAAAACTACAGTACGTAACACGGCAATAACAGAACACGCGCTAGTGTCAGTAGTAATGATACTGAAGGAGGGAAACTCATCCGAAAACCTTTCATTTGAATTAGACGCCTGTTGCAAATAACAGGGAAATTTACCCTTTTTCAACGAGTCATTTATCCGTTAAATTGTGTCGTGTCGGACAGCTGTGGTAGCCTACTAATAAGCTTTATTGTCAAAATATTTCTCCCAACATTTTTTTGTTGAATTTTGTCAAAGGGGAATTTTACCTGAACATGTGGTGTATAAATACACCGTGTTATAATAAACGGGAACAAAAAACGTTTGTTTTGCCCAGATAGCGTTGGTAGCAAGATGTCCCCAGTTCTCCGCAAGCAAGCCGGATTTAAGAGAGCCATAGAGGATGTAATACCGGCTGGGGGTTGTAATGACACAGCAGGAAAAAAGACATTTAAGGAACTCAGCTAGGATTCCAGAACACAGAATGTATCTTATTTCTTAACGATATATAATGCCTGAGTACATTCAAAACGAGAAAATTGTCAAATGTGTCTTTCGCGTGGGAAAAAAACAACAACAGGGCTGAAGAAATCGTCTGTAATAAATGTTAAATTCGCGTTTTGGACTATCCAGTACACTAAACACAAAAATATCAATTATATATTTTTAAAGTATATTTTATATATGGGAAATTAGACGCGTATATCAGTGCCATTTTTTTTGCTTAGCAAATGTCGTTCAATTAAACAACAAATAAAACACACTGATATTTTTGAATGAAAATTAAATAGATTTCCAAACACTTCGCTCGACTGTAAAATGGTGGTGACCTGCAGTGTGTAACTCTTCAGGAAACTTTAAAAACATGTAGGACGGTTTAGTTGCTACAGCAGACGAGGGTAGAAAGACGAAGCACCATCAACCTCTCTTGGAAAAAAGTGATTTGCATGCGGTGATAACTCGGGCGCAACTTTGGGATGATACCATGCGTGAATTTTACTCGGACAAGCAGGCTGTCGTATGAGCCAGTGGAAAGATTTATTTTTTTACAAGAAAGCGTTCTATGAACTCCCTTCGCTAAGCGCTTGGTAATAATTTAGCTTGTGTGGTCCTGCTAGCAGAGAAGGAGTCATTTCCACACCCCATGATCGTGAGGTCTGGGAGATGACCAGCGACACTCGAGTTCCTCTCCTTTTCCTTCCTCTCTCCCGCCTCTCTCGCTTTCCAGACCCTGTCCCGTACTTGCAATAAGCGGGAAAATAGATTGTGTTCGAACGTACTAACCACAGAAAAAATATAATATACAGGCGTGTAACTTTTTGACCGTTGTAAATTTATATTGAAGCTGTAAAATAATAATTAACCTACGTGCTCCATATACAGTATATGCGTCCAGCCTGTGATTCACAAATCTATAATCTATACATTATTATTATTATTATTATTATTATTATTATTATTATTATTATTATTATTACTACTACTAAGGATATCAATAATAAAGCTGTATGTGAAGCACAAAGTATTTATCTTACACGA